ATATAAAAAGGTGTGTGTGAGGAGCCTCTAACAGATGTTGTCATTAATCACTTTCAGTTGGCCATTAAAGCTAGACAGATGTTGATAAAGCAGTCTCACAGAGCCTGCAGGAAGAAAAAAAAAAAACAAAAAAAAAACAAAAAAAAACCCACCAACAAATAAATCCTGGCCTGCTCTATGCATAGTGTATGTACTTAATGCAAGGAGTGTTATGCAGTTTATTTAAGTTGCATTTGTAGTGACTTGGTGCACATCACTAAGTTTAGACATGCAAGTCAAATACCAGCAGTTTTTTGCTTTCAAAATCATCCAGTTAACACTTATAATATTACTAATTATCAATATAATCAAACACAGTCTCTGCATTTGGTATCTATAAAGGTGCACAGCAATCTTCAGAATCTAACTTTCTGTCCTAAATAATAAGCAATGCCTCTGTACCTTCATTCCTCCTGTAAAGGACCTGGCTTCCCCACAGGGGTGCATCTTAGTACTATAAATCCCACACAGAACCAATCCACACACTGTTCCTTACCTGGCAATTATCACAAAACCATTACATATCAATATCCTACGCATCGGCATGGCCCCTCCTCTGCTGGAACAGACAACCTTGTGCCAGCAGAGAGAGATACACCCAGCTGGCAACAAAATGCTGAGGGAAAACAAAAGCTACATAGAGCCTACATATTATCCCCCTGCATCTCCCCTCCCTCTCCGCCCCCCCCCCCCCAAAAAAAAAACCAAAAACAAAAAACTACTTGCTTGTAAAGTATTAGGAAAACATTAAGATCTTGACAGGAGCAATTGGAGATAAGTCAGATCTTGCATATCCTATGATCTCTGGCATTAAGCATTACCTCACGCTTCCCACCCAAAGCACTCGCCTTAAGCCCCTTCCTTTGTTCTGCTGTTTAAATAGCAATATTATTGCTGCACCTCATGTCATAGTGCTGTAAATGTTCTTCAAGCACTGAAGATTAGTAAAATATTCCATGTTATATAATGAAGTGAATGTAATTTCAGTCATCACGTGAAACAACAGTATCAGTGGATTCCTTGACTGAGAATCAATGGGCCACTTGATGTGGTGTGGTTTAGGCACTGCACATACAATTATCCATCTTATTTCTTTCATTTATATTGCTTAGCAAGTAAAAGCTGTGCCTTGTGCAGATAATAATGCTCCCTTTTATGTTCAAGTTTTTGTTTATCGAAATAGACTTTGAAATCAGAAGTGGGGTTTTAGGCTTTTCAGTCTCTCACAGCAACTTAGCAATTTTAACAGGCTGCTAAGCAGACCTCTCAGTCTTGGTTTTAAACATTTCTGATTCTATAAAACAGCCAAATATTTCTATGGTGTCAGTCAGGCTTCTTTCAAAGTGCTCAGCCAGATAGAAACGTTCTTCAGTTCAAGTTATTGGTTTGTATGTAAGTATTAAGTGCTACATCACACAAACCCACACTGCTTTTCTACCAATTCTAAGTCACCAACGCAAAACTCCCTCTCTGGCAAGTCAGTGAGATAACAAGAAATCCCTCTATGCTCATTTCAACAAAAAGGACAGGAACCATGTGCAAAAATCATGACTCGAAATATATTTATTAAAGCTTTGACATTTTAAACATATAACACAGGTAAGAGATTGACGTTGTCCCTTTCATATTTTATGTCTTTCCACCATCCACACTTGTGTTCCCCAAACACATCATCTTCCTCTGCTCAATCCTATTTTCTCTATGTCCTTCACATAAGTTGCTCTAATAAAAGCTCTAATTTTGGAGATTGTAGCAAAGCTGCAATTGTACTTAATATTTTGCTGCTATGTCTTTTGGGTTCGCAGTACTTTTTGCAGATGTCAACTTCACTGTGCCTGGGCTTGTCAGCTCAAGCACGGCTGAAGTGCCTCCAGGGCCAACTCAAGCCTGAAAACACCTCAGCTGCCTTCTCTCAGCCAGAACTCATGAACTCTCAGGTGAAACTCCCCATCACACTCAGCTTCAGCACCTGTGCATGCATGTCTGGTACTGGCTGAGTTGCAAGAGAAGTAAGGGGAGACCGAAGCAGCCTCGCGCAGCTTGTTCTGAGCTGGCTAAGACCAAGGTGGTGCCTGGGCCCCTCTACCACCACCACGCTCCTGTTCAGTCCTGCCAGGACTGATGAGCCCTGGCCCTGCTCAAGTTCCCACACTGCAAACACCCACGCTCAGTGCTGGAGGACAGCAGCTATATACAGTCAACTGTATCAACATCACTCACTGTGAAGTACAAAATGACCCATTTTGCATCCAGCAAGCACTTCTGTTCCTTAAGCGCCCGGTATATAGCTCCTCAGCATCCCAATTCATTTGCCATTTCCTATAACCCAGCACACAGCACCCATCAAGAAACCCGGTGGTGCACTCCCAGCCCTGCAAACCGCCTCTTCCAGTTTCCTGCATATCAAATCTCCACATCTTCCCAAAGAGAAAACCACCAATGGGCTGCTGCCCATACCTCCTCACTTCAGACATCTCTCACCCACTGGCAGTGGAGTTCAATGTGAGTCCTCTCCTCGTTATAACGACACCATACCCGACCCACTGCCCCCAAGCCCTCCCTTCCCTGAGCAGCCCGGGCTGAGGGCACCGCTTGCCTCCCTCAAGCAGCACAGATCAAGCAAAATCCTTTCTTTGACGCTTCAATTACGCCATTTGCCAGTACCTAGATTAAAAAAGAACAGCCATTGAGGGCACGGCATGAATGCTGTCAAACGCCCAGGACAGGAATACGAACTCTGTGGTGAATTTTAGACGACCGCTTCCACTCACACTGAATTATCAGTCTATCGACTGTGCATCGACCGGCCTTACACAAACCCCCACCCGAAACCAGTTTTCGCTCCGGCTCCCAGCGCAGACCCCCACGAAGGATGTTCCCGGCGAGTGCCGGGAGCCCAGCCCGCCGCACAGCCCACACCCAGCAGGTCCCGGCTCCACGTCCCGGCCGGTGGCTCCAGCCCCAGCGCCGGCCCTGCCGGAAGCCGTGCAACGCGCCGCTCCCCCGCACACAATAACCGGGGGCGGGGGCACGGCCGCACCGCCGCTCTGCCCTGCCGTCAGCGCTGCCTGCGCGGAGCCGCAGCCGCCCGCGGCCGTTTTTTGTCGGGAGTCCCGACGGGAAGCGGCGGTCGGGCCTCTGCGGGGCCCCCGCGGAGGCCACGCGTCCCCGGGGCCCAAGGCTGCCGCTCCCGCCGGAGGCGCCGCGGGCGGCCCCGCGCCGTCTCCGGGGAGAAGCTGTCAGCCGGGCCGCGCCGGGCCAGGGCTTTACGGGGCGGGAGGGGAGAAACCTTCGCCCGGCGGCGGCACCTCAACGCCCGCCACCCCTCACCTCAGGGTGGGCCCGACGCAGGCCGTGTCGGTGCTCTCGATCTCCTGCAGGATCCGATCATGCTCCGGGAGGCTCTCCGCCATCTTGGATGGGAGGGACCCGGCAGCCGCGCCGCTGCGGGAGGCTCCGGGGAGGGACCGAGGGCGGGGGCGGCCGCGGAGCCGGGCGGGGGGTACCGGGGGAGACCGGCGGCGGAGCCGTGCCGCCCGCGGCAGGACGAGGTCCCGCTGCCTGAGCCCCGCGCTGCTCCGGCGGTGCCGCACGGCGCAGACCTCCGTCCCGCAGCACCTCGCGGCGGACGCGGGCGACGGGCTCAAGAGCGGCCTTGCTGTAATGGGGAGTTCTGCTCTGCTTGTTGGGCCTCGGTTTGTTTGTTTACTCGCCGCATTGGCTCTTTGTTTGTTTGTTTGTTTGAGCTTCCCAATGCCGAAAGCACTGCCTTGCTGCCTTTCAGGAGCTGATCTGGAGCACTGTAAAAGGGCATTGTATTTCTACATTGCTGCTGCTTGTGTGCTAGTGTCCTTGGGCACCAGTGCCATAAAACCTCCTTTTTCAGTCAAGTAGGAATAGCTCCTCTTCTATTTAAATCGCATATATTGCGGTCTGTGGCCAAAGATGAGCTACTCCTTGTGTCTGCATGCTCAGGAGACAGGATACACCTGTGTTCTTGTCTGTGCACAGGTGGGAAGCAAGCACTGACTTAACTGAATGTGTTGATGACACCTACTGAAACAACAAGGAATATTCTAAATGTAGAACATGAAGTGTGTGCTGCAGAAAGAAAATTGGGGAAAATGCTACAGGATATCACTGCAGTAGTATTTCCTTCAAGAAATACAGTATTTCCTTTTTAAAAAAATGCAGTAACGATCTTCCCACATTCCTTCTTTTCTCCCTCGGCCCCACACTCCCCCATCAACAAACTACTCAAGTAATAGATCAACACATACATTTTTCAGGGTAAATGAAATTCTCTTTCTTTAGCCTGATAGTCATTGCAACCTGATGCCCACAGCAGCAGGCGAGCTATTTTTAAAGCTCTTCTACAGCTACTGACAATATATTAAGGCACATAACATCATGATCTTTTACATATTACCTTTTTTTTTGTAAGTGTGGGTATGCAGAAGAATTTTTTCAGTTATACCCTCACCACTGAAGTGTTTCCATAAACTGCACATGAAAAAAATTATTTACATTTTCAGATATTTAGGGATATCAACAGTAAATTTTTAAGCATTGTTTTTAGTGATTAAAAATGAAGTCACATTTATTACAAATTTAAGAATAAGAAGCAATTAATTCAATAGAAATATAGCTGTTAAGCTAAAGCCCTGCTACACGAAAGAGCAATTCTTCCCTTATTTTCATGCTTAAGTGCAATATATTTATTTCTGGAGAACACAAAGCCAGCCAAAGACAGCTTTCTCCCAGTAAAGAGTTGCACAAGTGTCCTTGGTTTGTATTTTTCCAACCAGGCCCAATTACACCCAAGTTAAATCCCACTACCCAATAGATTTCAATGTCAAGTTAACAAAGTTTGTGATACACTGCGCTGACTGAAGTCAGAACAGCTGAAGAGTGGAACAAATCAACCATGAACGATATAGCTGTATCTAAATGATGCATACCTTAGGGTGGTTCCAAGAGGCAGCTCAAAGGACTCGATCTCAGCAAGGGCATTTTCATATATCTGATCTTTGTTTTCTTCTAGATACATTTCAGACATATTTGGCCTGCTCTTCCTAGCCATAGGAAGGCCATAAAAACTGCTCTAATTTTAGGAGAGGACTTTTATTCTGACCATTATCGTTGACTAAGCGACTCTGCAGTCAGCAGAACCAGGCGTGAAAAAACAGATCCTGCGCTAACCTCATGACTCCTGAGGACTTTGTGTCCAAGAATGGTGCACAGCTGCTGTTTTCCTGTCTCTGCTGGTAACATTTGCCTTGTGTGCAGTACTCAGGCCAGTACAGTCATTTTTCTCTCTGTGTCTAATTTATCCTTATAGGAAATTTGTTGGCAAAAATAATATGTCTACATCCTTGTAATAGTTCACCAGTAATAAACATTAAGCCTGAAATTATGTTCAAGTTATTTCAGACACTATGTGTCAATGCTTGGTTTCTTTGTTAAGTATTATGAGATATAAAAAATAAAAAATTAAAAAAAAAAAAATAGTGTTCTTAAAAAGAGGGCAAGTTTATGGACCTTGAAAAGCAGACTGGAAAAGCAGAGAAACTCTCACATTCTCACCTTTTTCATTCTGTGCATTAACAGATGCTGGTTTTAATATAAAAACATACTGAAAGTGTTCTGGGACAACAATAATTTTTATATGAGTGTGTGCCCTTATGCAACAAATAGAACTGTTACTACTCATTACCTGCTTGGTAACCTGCAGTGTTCAGAGCAATACTAGGCTCACGTCATTGTCATACTTTGCACAACTTAATGTCAGGCAGCTATTTCAGACATGAGACTGGCGTTCTAGTGCTTTCAATTTAAACAGGTTTTTGGAAATATAATTCTATACTGAGTGGCATATCAGTCTTGTTATACTGGATTATTTTTGGTATTTCAAAAATCTCAACCAAAATTATCCCAGTACTGTGCCAGACAATATTAATACAAGTCTTGACACCAATGGTGCAGTTAAGAATTCAATACAGGAAAACATAAATTACTCATTTCTGACAGGGGTGATGAGTTGTTCCAGCAGGAGCATAGAGGAGGAGAGCTCACTCCAGAGGCAGGCACAGGGAATTCTAAGGGCTGCACTGTGTTACATATGTACAAGTCCAAAAGGCACTCCCTGGAGCTTCTTTAATCATTTGTTTATTTTTAAACTAAAATTAAGCAATTGCTCTGTTAGCATTAATAGCCAGTACTTTTATTTCTTTAGTGTTCCGAATGGTTTTTATACCTTTGGTAAGAAATTGGTGCCTGTGATTGACCCATCCAGCCACTGGATGTCACACAAATGCAGATGAAATGATACTGTAACTACTCAGCCTGATTTTACCAGACACTAGATTAAAAGATAATTTATCAAGTTTGGAGTGAACATGTGAAAATAAAATTACTACTAGAAAGAATTATTACATTTAACGAGTTTGGTACCTACCTTGTAACTTGTATGTTTGAGTTTTGCCATTCTGATTGAAAGTTTAAAAGTTCTGAACTAAATCACAGTACTATAACTTCCTCTGGGTTTTACCCCTTCCTACCAGTCATATCACTACTGATAAATACTGGGTATTTTGAGGTGCTCCTTGTAACTATCCTTTCTTCACAGCTAAGAGCAGGTCATACCTGAAGGTAAGTTATTAATTACCAATGAATTAAATTCCTGCATATGATGTAAATGACATACATTAAAAATGAAAAATACCAGCCTGATGCAATGGCACCTTAACAAAAGCTGGGCTGTAGACTTAGTATAGGAAGTTTAAGAGCCATCAGCCCTCTCCTGAGCAACACAGAGCAGAACTCAGCTCCCAGCACCTGAGGTATCTGACCCTGCTCTCCAAATTCTGGCCATAGTCTAAGGGGAAAGAAGGAGTCCTCCTGAGAGTGAGGTACATCTTGCAGACTCATCTCTGCCTTGATCTTGTGCCACAGCAGCCTGATCACTTCACCTTTCTTCAGTCCAATCTTTGCAACACAAAGATGTGAGGGATTAAATTGTTTTCCCCAAGGAGCATTTAAAATGATCAACTGTTGCCAACACATATTGCAAAGGCTGGTCAACTAAATAGGTTAACTCACTCTTGGTCAGAGGTCTTGGAAAGATGCAGAGCAGTTATTTGGTGAGGACATTTACCTACTCATGTCAAACTTATCTGGGGGCAAAATTTCCAATAATTTCTTTGAATTTCAGTAACAGACTTCTGAGGATTTTGTTATTCCCAAATAACATGGATATCAGTGCAGTATGTCTACCCACTTTCATCTGGATCATCTTTCCTCTTTCATCTTTCCCCATTGCAGTGGCTCATGATAACATGACATAGGATGGAAGAAAGGACATCTGCAGCCATGTGGCAGAGCACAGCCAACCCAGGTAGATCAGCAACATCTTAGACATCCACACCTCGTGCCATCACACACCATAACATGCAAAATAATAATAATAATAATAATAATAATAATAAAAAAAATTCAACAATGGCAGCATGATATGGAGTGCTTTCATGAATGTTTTTGTGTGATTTTTAGCGAGTTTGATACTTTGATACAAAGATTTTGGATGCAATTACTTCTCACTCCTTTTTCAAACATGCAGGAGCTTCCTTTAGATGTGAACCAACAAAAAATCTCGATCTGCTGTGTAAATGTTGCTGTAGCTATCACAGCTGCCTATAAATATACATTTAACCACAATAAATCAAAATTGCCCCTGGCTCGGCTTCTTGGCTCTCTGGAGAAGTTTACACCCATCTTGAAACTATGTTAGATCATGACATCTGAAGAAAGACCTAATAACTAGTTGTGGATCTGTAGCCAGCTGCATGCACAGAAGTCCGTTAGTGTCAGTACACGACAAAAGCCCATCCTGCTGTAGGTGCTCCTGCCCAGTGCTGCTCTTCATCCTGCTCCCTTCTCTCCATCTCTGGACTTCACCAACCAAAGCTGAAAGGGAAAATAGGAAATGCCTCTCCTACAGCATCACACTTGTACTAGTTAGGCTTTAACCATGCCAAGAACCTTGGGAAAGTTCTCCTGCACTGGGAGAGCTCCTGTGCTGAGAAACTGACATCACTAGAAGTGAGCTGCTACTGTGTCTCCGCATAAAACATCCCTGTAGCAATCATCTGATAAAATGTATTCCTTTAAGGCTGTGAACTTTCCTGATCGCTTGCTGCTGTATTCCTTGCCAAGAGGGAAATGACTCTGTCTTTTCAGAACATTTAAGTAAATTGTGCTTCCTGAATTACAGAAAAAATCTGTAAATACATTGCTTTGTGTTTTAATTACACTGGATTTCAAAATAAAACAGCATGTACAAATACTCACCAGATTACAGAGGTAACAACATTTGATAGCACTTGTATCTGCTATTTCTATAGCTAATTGTTCAAAACATTGCACATCTCTCCTAGGAGGGAAGTTCATCACCAACTCCTTTTGACATTTTATTGACATCTTACAAGTGCCTAAGCATATTAGGAGAGATCCTCACTGGCACTGATGTTATCTCTGTAAAAGTCAGTAGAGCCCCAGAAACTATTTGTTTGATGGAGGTACTCCTGAGTGACAGCAAGAGGAGCACATTTCATTCTCTGTGCTTACACAATGTTGGTGCCATCAAGGAACAAGTACTATGTTGTTCTCCCTGCCTTAAGGATCAGGCACTGGGTAAGACCCCAAGCCAGCAGCTGCCCGGGAGCATGGGGAAGCTTTGCTTCTTCTCTGAAAGGTGCTGTGTGTGTCAGTGGCACAGAACAGGTTAGAAATGGAAATGACATTTGAGGTCAAGAGCCTGTGCCCAACGGGCATGTCAAAGGAGGTGACCTCTGCCTTTCAAGGGTAGACAGACACTGTTCCACCTGAGCCTGTCCTCACTGCAAAGTAATGCCCTGCAGAGTCACTAGAACAACCTACTGGATCACTTTTATCATGACCTGTATTATTTAAATAATTTAGGGAAAAGAAATCCCTTGTTTGAACATAAGCTTGAATCACTCTGGCTACCAATTAATTAAATTAAATGTCTCTAGGCACTTATCTCCTCCTAGGTTCTTATTTCAGCTTAGTTTAACCTCCATCTAATTGATTTAAATCAAGTAACTACCAGAAAAAGAAAAAGGAAATGAAAAAGAAAAAAAAAAGAAAAAAAAAAAAAAAAGGAAAAAAAGAAGAAAGAAAAGAAAAAAGAAAAAAAAGAAAAAGAAAAAGAAAAAGAGAAAAAGAAAAAAGAAATGATCAGAAAGCTTCTTGCACCAGCTCTCTGTGGGTCAGGCTTCTGCTGCATTCTTCATGCTTGCTCCACTGAAGTTTGCAAGAGGGGATCATTAACATTAGCAAACCACTCTGTGATGGTTATTTTAATTAATTATTTAATTACTGGCCAGAGGGAACCTTCAGGACTGCTGTTTACCAAAGAACCTGGTTATGCCTGTGACAGCAATGTGGCTACTTTAGTAATAACGAGAAGTGCGAGAGGAAGTGTTTGAAATTAACAATATTTAGCTAATTTAGCTTATTTGTTTTGTATTACTTTGAAAGGTCAGGAAAATAACAGAAGACTTACATAGGCAAAGTATTGTACTTCAAGATAAAACTTTTTTTTTTCTTTTTTTTCCCCCAGTAAATGAGGGCAGGAACCATTTCTCAACCCTATCTGACAATAGTGGCTGAGTACTGGTACTATCTCCCAGTTATACTCAATGAACACAGCAGGTTAAATCTTGTAAATCAGCACCAATGGCTCTGAAAGGAACCACTTGTTTTTTAAGAACATTCCAGCAGTCCACAAACACTTTTTTTTCCAGTGAAAACTGAACAATTACAGTAAGACTCTGTTTTGGTAAGAAAATAGGAAATGATGCTAAACAAAAGGGTATGTTTATTTAGAGATTCCAAGGCCATTAATTTATATTAAGTAACAGTTTGTGCTCAGAGACTAATCAGAGGGTGATGTGAATCATTGATCACAAACGAACTTCATAGATAAGGACCAAGTGCGGTGCTGGATGATTGTATTATATATTAACAACTTTCAGGGGCAGCTTTTGCTGATTCATTTGGCAGGAAGTGAGTCGCCAAGAGAGATTTCTAGGGAAGGAACAATCAACAATATTTTCATATTAAATAACCTCCAGTTA